TCCNCAACAACATGTACCCGCCGATTCCTAGACCGAGGGATGATACTCCACCCCCATCTGATGAATCCAGTCTCCCTGTACCTAAAGGAAGAATGACCCTGGACTACTTACTAAAGTTGGCACAAGCCCGAAACGCTGCCAAAGCCCAGGAATCTACAATGTAATTGACATAATTTTAAAAACAAATGTATAGATCTCTTTATAGTTGAAGACTACAAGTTTAGCTAAATGGTGAAAACGTATCCTGCTTCTTCAAAAACGAAACAACATAACCTATGGCGAAATAAACGATGTAACCTGAGAAACCTACTAACCAAATGGTAGAATCGACAACCGCAAACCCAAGCACCTTAAGAAACTTTAATGGTGGGTATAACTTTTTATGGTGGATATAACTTTGATGGTGGATATAACTTTTTATGGTGGATGTAAAATATAACTTTTTATGGTGGATATAACTTTTTATGGTGGATGTAGTAGCTTGTAGTAGTGCATATAAACAATATAGACTTACAATCATGCCTTGTGTTATTTCTGATTATATTGAAGAATTGTTTTTTTGTAATGTGTATTTTTCAACTTGTATTATTAATAATTATGATGTTAAGAATCGACAGGTGTGAGGATAGATTTAACCGTTTTCTTTTGGTACCCCAATTTCATGACCCTCTGCAAAGGGAGGAATGTAACAAAACTGAGATCCGCCCGTATTCAGATTTTTGTTAGTAGGTTAATGTGTTATTGCCTACGGCGCTTTGGATCATGAAATTGGTATAGAAATTAATAGCCCATGAATTAGGACTCGTGGCCGTTATATAATGGTCATTCATATTCAAAAAGGTACAATTTAATGGCTAATTTTTTTAAGTACCAACATTAAAAGATTAACAGATTATCATTCCTGTCGATATGACGTATACAGTCGAGAGTATAAATATGAGAAGACTACTCTCTGTCTTCAGTACTTAACAGGAAACGTTATTACTCATAAAGTCTTATCTTTGTCTACCTTTAAGACTAGTAGGCATTCGAAATTATTCTCGACTAGAAATACACTTTAAATTATTCTCTTGATGTTATTCTATTGAATGTCAACTTTAAGAACACAACGTGAAGTCTGATATTTATATAAAGATATTTGAAAACTGTTATTCAACTTATTTACGGACGGGGACCACCAGCATTGGATCGCAAAAAGGGGATATCGACAACACTTTGTCATATAATGTGTACAATCTCAAATATTGTTCAAAATTTCAAGTGTTTACAATCATTAGATCATGAGATATTCGTATTTAAAAGTTTTAAAAGGCAACGGTGACTGTGGGTGGATTAAAGAAACCGTTGAAATTACGCACAGTTACTATAGAAGTCAATACAAAATTTTCAAATTCTAAAAAGCGCAATTTCAATCAAAATGCCAAGTGTTATATATCATTTGAAAGAATAGATTGTGTGTAATAAGGAAATAAGAGAAATTTTCACGTATGTAAATTAGGTCACGTGACAGAGCTCTTCAAAGTTAAAAATCGCGATTTTCAATGGGCTGTAGAACCGGAAGTTAACGATGCACAGCAAAAGGTCAACAAAGGTCAAATAAAAGTAATATGAGTCTTTGAAGTTTCTAAAATTGAACATTTTTAAAATTGTTAAACCTATTACCTTTTTTAAAGTAAAGAACGCAAACAACTGTTATGTTATCACAAATTTTCCAAAATAGTGATCTATTTTCATACAAAATTTCAAAGGTAACACTTGGAAACTTATGGAGTTATGACAATTGCAAATATTACAGATAAAGTAAATGCACACCGAATGCGCCACGCCCACTTCAAAAATTTTAATTTGTCTGTAATGATGTCTACATTGTTAAATAATGTTCAAAATTTCAAGTGTTTACTATTATTAGATTATGAGATATTCGTAGTTAAAAGTTTTTTTTAAGGCAACGGTGACTTTCAGTAGATTATAGACACCGTGAATTTACGCACAGTTACTATAGAAGTCAATACAAAATTATTAATTTTTAAAACGCGCAATTTTTATCAAAATATCAAGTGTGATATATCACCAAAAAGGAGATTTCATGCACTCAAAGAATATATAAGAATTTTTGTCGTATGTTAATTAGGTCACATGACAGAGCTTTTCAAAGTTAAAAATCTCGATTTTCCAATGGCTGTAGAACCGGAAGTTAACGATGACCAACAAAAGTGTAGATATAATCGGATAGATCTCGTAAGAGGCAACAACTTTTGTTCAGGTCACAAGGTCACCAAAGGTCAAAGTCACTAGATATGAGCCTTAATAGTTTTGACAATTACTGAAAACATAAAACCGGAAATAAAAAAAATACAAAGCCAAAATTCAAAAATCGGCTTCCCATGTTTTGTTAGCAATCGATTGTAGTTTACATAAAATTTACGCACATCCAATTTTACCCTGAGGCCCCATTTTGAGTTTTATAAAAATGAGTCATATCAAGATGGTGTCTTAGACAATACTTCCGGGTCAAATTTTTTGATTCCAAAATCTTTACGTTGACAATTATAACTAATTGCAAAAAGAATTTTTCAAATATCTACAAAATTCCGGAAGTTGAAATTTGAAGTTTGGAGGCGAATGACGTCAAAACCGGAAGTGATATCGAAATTTTGAAAGCATATTTTTGTTCACAATCAAAATGTTTATCTACATGAAAATTTTCAGATCGATCGCAATAAAATTGTGGAAGTTTAAAAAATGCTTTAAATAAAATCTCAAAAAGTCAGCGACAAAAGTCAAAATTTGAAATTTCTTAAATTGCTTTCTTTTAGACATTAGTTCAAAGTAATGAACAAAACAAAAATTATGTTCAAAATAGATTCAGAATAATAGCAGGTATTGGAAAGACGTAATGAACAGTCAAAGTCCTACGTCATTTCCGGTTGGGCGAAGATGCGTCATTTTACATTTAAACAATAGCGACACGCTAAGTATAAGAGATAATGATGTCAGATAATCTGTGGTATGTGCAGTTTTGGCTGGGGAGCGTGACCAGAAGTAGACAACAAAAAAAACTAGAACCGTTATAACGGTACCAAAGCAGTGCGCATCCAACCTGATACATCGATAACACGTTGCATTTTAAAGTCAAAATGAGATATGTTCTGTTTTGCCGATGGAAATTGACGATAATCCCAACTAGCGCCACAGGCAGGCTAACGCACACCCAAAAACCATCAAGATAGAATGTCAATATAGATGATATTTTATTCACAGTGTTTAATGGTAGTAGGTAGTGGTAAAATAACTGTAAAGCAATGACATCTTAGCCACGGCAAACAATTCTTAAAACAAATGGCGCCATGCCATAACAATCGAGACACAATTAACCAGACTTTTAAAGAACAGTGAATCGAGTAGAGAGTTCCACGTGCGCAGTCCTAGGAATATGCTTACGATAATAAAATAAATGTGACATGATAAAATTCTTGCTTGCATTTGTACTCCTGATAATCTTATGCATATAGAATTAACATAAATATCAAATTAAAAATACTTATTAGATGGATCAACTCGAATGACAACCCGAATACAACGCGAGTTATAAGGGACTGGTGAATCGCGTTATTAATAATAAAAAATAAGGTGCGCTATATGTGACACTTTTAGAATGTTTTCAAAAGATAAATCAATAAATGTTTATAAAACAGCACATTCCCCACTTAAAAGTTAATAACTTTTACTATCATCTAATTTCCGGGACGGTACAGGAATACTAGTTCTGTGGTTGGTCGGAGAAATCTTTTCCTTCTCAAAGTAAGCTGTTTTGATCCTGGGCGCGATCATCTTCGAAGGTTTCTACTTCTGCTTGGCGAACAATACCATCAGAGCTTGGTTGAACTCTAACAATGCGTCCTTTAAGCCAAAGACCTCTTACAGCATCCTTCTCGTGAATTAGTACGATATCATTGGCTGCTAGGTTCTGAGTGGTTTTGTTCCATTTACGTCGAGGTTGTTGGTTCTGGAGGTATTCTTTGCGCCATCTTAACCAAAATTGGTCGGCTAAATATTGAACTCTTCTCCAGCGGCGCTGACAATATAAATCTGGCTTATCAAAGATTCCAGGAACAGTTGTATATGGACGAGATTTCATGGTGAGAATGTTAGCTGGTGATAATGGCATGGGGTTGTTAGTATCATCTGATGGTACAGCGGAAAGTGGTCTTGAGTTGACTATTGCCGCAGCTTCAGACATAAGAGTGATAAGCAGGTCATGAGTCAGTTGTGGTTTACCAAGTTCCAGTAGCATGCCTTCCAGCACACGCCGTACAGTACCAATCTGACGCTCCCATATTCCACCGAAGTGAGAAGCATGAGGCGGGTTCCATAGCCATTGGCACTCACGTTCTTGAAGAAAGTTTTTTACTTGGTCGTTGTCAATATCTTCAAGAGCTTCCTTTAATTCGTTCCGTGCTCCCACAAAATTTGTTCCACAATCAGAGCGTAAGATGGAGACTGGACCCCTGATTGCGAAAAAGCGTCGTAGTGCGTTGATGAAGGCGGAAGTATCCATGGAGTCTACAACTTCTATATGGATGGCTCGACTATATAGACAGGTGAAGATAATTCCCCATCGTTTGCTGTTGACAGATCCGCTACGAGTCTTCCTGGTTGATATCTCCCAAGGGCCGAAGGCATCCATTCCTACATTGGTGAAAGGAGGAGTCTGTTGAAGTCTGTCTTCCGGGAGATTAGCCATCTTGGGTACCTCTGGAGGTCGACGAAGAAGTCTACACCGGACACAATTTCTAACCATAGAATTCACAACACCAGAACCACCTAAAATCCAAAACCCTGCCTGACGTATGGCACCATGGGTTATTGACCTGCCTTGATGATGAGTTCTCTCGTGATAGTGATGTGATACAAGGCATGTAACGTGGTTGTTCTTTGGTAGGATTACTGGGTGTTTCTCGTGAATTGACAGTGTTGATTGACGAAGACGACCGCCGACTCTGATGAGACCGTCGTGAACAAACGGGTCTAAGTTGTAGAGACGAGATCCTCTCAACTGTCTTTTGGCGTTTGATGATTGGTCTACCAATATCTTCAATTCGCTTGAAAAGGCTTCTTGTTGAACGTGTTTCAAAATTACCAGTTCAGCTTCTAACAGGGCATG